AACATATAAGGCCCCATATTTATTAATTAATCACGTTTTTCGGGATAAATCTTATCCAAGATTTAGTGGGTAAAGTACAAGAGGTGGAGTGTTGACTTTTCCTTAGTTTATGACACAAGCAACCACCTACACCCACTCTATGACCAGTCACACCTCCCCACCATCCCTAGTCACTTCCTTGTGCTTTCCCATCAATCATCGGCCCCTCCCACCTTCTAAGAGCTGGAGCAAATCAACCTCTCTCCTCATTTTCACTCACTTGCTCTCATTTCACCAAAAATCAAACACAAGTTTTCTCTGAAACTTTTTCTCTCTATTTCGAGACTCCAAGGCTGATCATCAAGCTTTATTCTACTCTTGGTAAGTATAATTCATCCTCCTTGTGATTATTACACTTCATTCTACTCCAATCATCGATTGCTTACACAAACTCCATCACTTTGATGTTAGATTCTCAAAAATCTTCAAGGCATCTTCCAGTGTTCTCGAGTTGAACACTTCCCTTCTCCAACATTCATCTACTGAAATCACATAAGGTGAGTTCATACCCCTACATTTTCATATTTTCTTATGTTTTAAGGGGGGGAATACAAGTTAAAACACCAAGAACACAACTAAATTTTTCTAACAGCTTTCATCAGAAAGGTTGGACTCCATTCACGGACTGTTTTGGTCAACTTAAACATTTTTGTTTTCAAAACTGTACAAGGTGCAAGTAGCTCCAGTCCTTAGCTTTAAAATTGATACTTGCACATCTCCATAAGATTTTTCTACAATTTATGGTGATTTTTACAAAACTGCCTGTCATTTCAAGAACCAATCCGGACCAGTCTGTTATTATGGACGTTTTCACCTAAGTTGGAGGTCACTAAAAATCATGAGAAAATTTATGAACAAACTAGACTCATTTTCCAAACTCTCAGAATTTACGGATTCGGATTTGGACCTTTGATGATTTTTCTACAAATTTTCTAAGAACAGAGACAGAATTCCGTTAATGACTTTGTGAGACATTCGCTTCACTTTACAAATAAGTCCTGTATTGTAACCAGAGTCTCCTGGAGGGAGAGCGTGATAGTTGTGTATAGATCTATATTGGGTCTGATAAACCCACACATTAACTGCATGCAACAGTTAGACCGGCAGGTCTGGGGTGACAAATGTCATAACATTTCCGACGCCTAAAGAACGTCGTTTCAGGCCAACTAGGTCATAGCATGGTTATAATAACTCACAGAAAGTATTAACAAACGTAGGAATTTACTTAGATTTCATAGAAATCAAACACGTTTATATCGATTTAAACTTACATTATTTTCTATAAGTAAGAAAGGTTACTTATACATTTTGGTCTTTGGATATAAGACTACATCACACATTTTAAGGAAAATATCGGATTTTTCTGGAACAAACATTACATTTACAAGAGAGAGGTTTTTATCAATACAAAACAAAAGCTTATGAACTCACCAACCTTTGTGTTGACACTTTTTCAAACAACTTGTATTCTCAGGAAATCACTAAACAGGTAACCAAGTGCATTTTGAGGATGGGACGTTAAGGCGTCAGACATTTCATATTTTTGTCAACATATTGTAATTGATTTGGAAACATGTAATTCATACAATGATGTAACTCTTTCAATTATATATGTTGGTTGTGTTTGCTTGAATTACTATTGCCATTGTGGTTATGATACTATACATGAAGTCCTCCACCCCCCGGACGTTTCCGCCATCCTTGGTTTGGGGGTGTGACAACCTAAACATAGGTATGTAACCTATCTAGATAATGTGATGGCCTTGTGGGTTGAAAGATACCTATAGGATAAATAGCTTAAGCCAACTTTGACGCCGAATGGTTTTTCTAGACAACCACTCGCGGCATGGTCCTGGTGCACCTTGGTGTACCGATACTGGAGTGGTGTTGATGGTTGATGGAACGTCTCTGCAAACACCACACGGAAATTGGGAGGTGTAACAGGATGGAATTGGCACTGCTCGTACCAATACTTAACGACAACGCATGTATACGTACGTGCAAAGTCGGAGTAACGATCGCATCGCACCGGGAGCAATAATTACGGTTGAGAGTTACACGTCATAGAGTGCATTAGGTCGTGCCGCTCACGTTAGTAGCGAATGGGGTTCTTTCCTGGGGGGTTTGCAGTGAATTAATAGACCCAAACTAGGAGGAATTACTTTTAATAATTATAGTGGTGGTGAGCGGTGAGTAATTATTAAAATGAAGCGGACAAATAATATTATATATTATATATTAATATTTAAGTGGCGAATAGATAAAATAAAATTAGTTACAGCGGGATTGAGGAGACTAACTAATAAAATAATCTCTAAAAGAAGAACTAAAATAAATTGAGCTAAACCTGTGTTTGTTATGCGGTGGTATGTCATTATGTCTTGCTTGTGAGTCTTTGACTGTGTGTGGATGTTTTGCTTGAATCCATCTATGATATGTGTGTTCTCTTAACGATGTACTGTAATTGACACACTTAGCCTATGCTAACACTTGTTCTTTGCTTGTTGGTTTTTGTGTATTGGAACAGGTAGCTTGACATGATGTCTTGTTGAGGATGGGAACCATTGGGTAGCTTTATTTAGTATCTTTAGTTATGATACCATTTGCACATGTTAGGCTTTCATCATTCTTTTTTGTGAACTTTAAATTTTTATGGGTTGGTTTTCACATGAAAGTAACATTGGTGATGTTTTTGAAATAATCATAATAAGTCTTCCGTAATGTGTTCTGTTAAAAAGTGTTTGAATTTTTTTAAAAAATTTGGGTGAAAAATCACAATGTTACATGTTGCGCCAAGCATGTCCTTGTTGTGCCAAGATGGTCCTTGTTGCACCAAGGTGATGATGTTTCTCCAACCTAGAAGTTCTTGTGCCACTCTTGATGCCTGTTGCGCCATCCTTGCACATGTCGGGCCATCATGGAGTAAGATGGGCCATTTTGGTTCCTTCATGAGCCATGGTATCCGTGATGAGCCATGGTATCTCTCATGAGCCAAGTATGCTATTAAGTCCTCTATGATGCTCAAGATCGTTCAAGGGTACTCAGAAGTTGGTATTGCTCAAGGATTACACCATGTTGTGTCACCATGATGGATGTTAGGACATTAGTGTTCATGATGTGCCACTTGTACATCATGATGATCCACTATGGCACAATGTGCTCCATCATGTGTGTTGTTGATGCTCATGTGTGTATGACATGGAAGAATGTTCTAGAAAATGTTGCATGGCAGATTATCATTTGTTGTCACCATTCATGGGCCTATGCGCCAATTGGCTACACCCATTAGGTTTTAGGTCTGACCCCTCAAGTATAAATAGGGATGCATGTAGAGTCATTTGTCTTGTGTCTTGTATCTTGTATCCTTAGTGAGTAGAACAAATCTTTGGCAAATTGTACTTGTAACCTCTGTTTGACAACTCTAAAATAAAGAATACTCCCCTTCTGCTTGTGGATGTAGGTCACCTTGACCGAACCACGTAAATAATGTGTCTTTGTGTGATGATAGTTTTGCTTGTTATCCACTCTACTTCCTAACAAGGGTCACCAGAACTTCGCAAGTGGCATCATATTTGTTCTGATTCTTTACAAGTGTTGCCTGTTTTCCATAACAATATCCAAAGAAGAAGAAAGTGAAACAACCTTTGGAGACTTTGGTTCTTTTTGGAAATTGGGAAGTTGATGAAGATGGCTTTAAGTTCCAAGGAAGAAGCTCACTAGAAGTATCCACCAACATTTAGCCAACTTGATAAGATGATAATATTCATCTTGTAATAAAAGTATCTCTTAAGCCTTTAAGAACAAAACAACGCTTTTGTTCTAAAGGAGAGCTCAAGTAAAGTATCAACATCTTCCTAATTTGATATTAACACTTTAAGACACAAAACTAGAGACAATATGGAGATAGGAAGACATAAATTTTGTGGTTTTGTCTTAGTCAAAGAAAGAAGAGAGATAACTAGTTTATATGCTTTTAACTTTATGACTTTATCCCATGGGTCATAACCTTTAAGACCCATGCTTCATCAAATCAACTAACCATGCTTTCGAAGAGCATTATGTCTTGAATAAATTAATCAAAAGCAAGTCTTTCTTATTTATGGTCTCCTTGAATATCTTATGAAAAGAAGAAGCTATTTTTTCTATAAAAACTCTTCTAATTTTTATAACTTATAAAAAATATAATTCCATATACGACAAAAAACCTTTTGGTCCAAAGAGATGTATGTGATGTTTCATTTACACATGGTTTGTTATTTCTTATGGTTCAAATTTTACAACTTTGAATTCTGAAGGATTTTTCTGAAATATTTTCAAGTAACACTGGTGGTGTTTTATTAATAAGACTCCCGCTAACATTTTCTGAGTCAAAATTGTTAAAAGTAAAAGTAAAAGAAAATTTTTGGGTGAAAAATCATGGTGTTACACAACACTACATATCAACCAAAAACAAACTTGTCCTTTAAATACAAATCCACATGAACAACTATCTAAATAGCCTCCTACATGTTGCCTTGACCTGTATTAAAATAAGGAAACAATACACATATATAGATAATACGTTTTCATTTTGGGTTTCCAAGTTACATGACAACTTACACCATTTACTTCCAGAATACAAGTAAACAGCCAACAATGTCATCCAAGTTTCAAACCCACGTACACAAAAAGATCATACATCAGACCACTGGACAACCAAAGTACTTCCTAAATACACAAAAACATCAGACCACACAAACCAACCATTTACCAACAAAACCCAACTATTTTCCCCCAAATAACAAAACCCAAACCTAGAAAACTAAGTACTCCTTTATCAGAAGTACTGCTGGGCTGCCAACATCACCCCAACAACAACAAACACCCTGAACACACTTGTGACTACACATATCTTCTTCTTCATTTTTGTTAACTCAGTGATGTCACCTTCACATACGCCTAATAAAATTAGAAAAAATGGTTCACAAGGTCTTTATCATGTGCGACATATCGAGCTGGCCTTTCCTCACATCGTGGACTAAACGATTCATCTCATCCATCTCACGACGTAAAGAATACCTAAACTGATATAGGTCACCATTCACTTTGTCTCTGATCAAATAGACATTTAGCTGCACTTGCAGTAGTGTTATAGAGACGTCTTCAGGTTTGGCTCCATTTGACCCATTTGCAGTGATGTGGTGATGATCTTCAAAGGACTTGTTGTGGCAGGGAGATTTAGCGGCATGCATTATTTTTGTAGTTAGGGTAAGAACTCTTTTTCATAATTAGGGAACCAAGCTTTCTGGGGATGATCTTGTAAGGGACAAACTAGTTTTCAATCATCACAAGGGTAATGAACAACCCAAACCTTGAATAATAAGACTCATGATTAAAATGATGGCGTTAGACCCACGTAGACGCTGATGTGGATTAATTTGATTATGTGGAGCTGGTAACTAGTTAAATGAGGTCCAGGTTACTAAATGGACAGGTTGCATACAAGTTTGTTCCCTAATAAAGCATGAAAAAACATTAGGGAGTGAATGGGAAAATGTGCAATACATTATAGGGCTAATTGTGTCATTTTGCCAAAAAAAAAAAACTATATAAAAAAATTGTATATGGGACAAGAACATAACTTTGATGCATGGGGTAACTCCTTTGCAATTCGTAAATAAAAATGATTTATAAATGTCAACAATCTACATATAACACAAAGACAATCCATATAAAATGTGCTACAAAAATATCAAATAAAGTTTCGTTCCATATGATTGATGGGTTTATTAGGTTACAGCAAAATGCTCAATGCGGAAAATTAGTTAACAATTAAAAAGGGCACATGCAACCTAAAACGAAATCCTAATATGTATCCTAGTAATTTCGGTAATCACAAAGTAATGATACATACCTCAAACTTGTTATGGCAAACAAGTTACTCCAATCCTTCCTTCGAAGAGTTTGGAAAGCTAGCACCAAAATGATGATGCCTCTAATGGCTCACACTCAAACCCTAGAACTAAAAGACACTTAAGGATAGAGGAGAATTTCGTTCATAACCCTCTTGGAAGATAGAACCACGAACTTGAGTGTCCAAGGGTCCATATCTATAGTATAGGTAATTTAGGGACAAAGCAAGATTTGAATAATTAAATAATAAATTTAATTGCAATTCAAACCCTTTCCTTATTAACATCCAAGAGGCTTCTGCAAGCCCTAGAAAGGCTCCCAAAACTGTGCACCCTTGGATGGTTCTAGAATTGTCTCTTTTGTTCAACTATTGAACAATTACATTTCACCCTTTGTACATTTAATTAATTCCAATAAATCCCCAAATTAGTTCCAGATTAATTCTGATTAGCAAATAATGAATTCTAATTGATTTCTTATTAATTTATTAATCAAATAAACAAATCAATCATTTTAACAATTGATCTCATATTAATTTATTAATCATACAATAAATTAACAAGTCAACTATCTACTTCCAATTAATATATTAATCATCTAATTTATTAAAAAATCATTTCCTCACAATTTCTTAGTTTATTAATCATATAATAATCTAATAAATCATCCACTCTCTATAAATGTCATTCTAAACAAGTTATAGTTTTGAGGAAAACCCAAAAATGACTTTGCTTCTAATTACAAGAATATAGAAATTTAGTTACTGGCTTAGACACCTTAATCCAACAATCATCCACTTGGATAAGTCTGTAACTACATTTTCAAGTATATACCTTGAACTACATAGCAAAGAGTTCTTTCCAAAGCCACAACTTAACTCTGATTCAAATCAAACGTTGGCCCTAAGATAAGTTATCAGCTATTCCTTAGCTTCAAGATATCGTATGAACTGAGTCATGGATTAAATGATCAAAATCATGTTCATTTATTTGTTTCCCGGTTTCTCGATATTTGATCAATTTAGAATATAAAATTGAACACATCAATTTAGTCCATACCAGGTGTCTGGTTTTCATAGATCAACTCAAATCACCAAGGGGCCCACATATATCACTTTTACTGTAAAGGCAAAAGGAACAAATTACTTTGACTATATAGTCATACAATTTATATGTCAAATCACACATGGAATAACCCTTTATAACATCTAGTTATGAGATGTTCTTGAGCAAACCAATGCACAACTGATATGTAAACTATGAATTATATGTTTCTGCTTTAAGAATAGAAGATACTATCGTCTTAGAATTACTTGTGATTAAAATCCATGAAGTAATCTCTAAGAGTGGGTTTATCCAATACTTAAAATCCATATATTCAAAGTACACATGAATATTGTAGCAATCCGTATGCAATGTCCAATCCCCACATACAATCTACAAATCGATTCATCACAGTCTTAATTCACTACTTACTTCCAAAACTATGAATGACTATGGAATTTTGATTAATATTTATATTACCCGGGGAAGTAAAACATGCAAAGTGAAACACAATAATAAATTAATTAACTATGGTATCATAACCTATTATTATTAATAAATCCCTATTAGTTAATCACCATAAAAATTATGAATTTATTCATTGTATAATGTTTCGAGTAATTAACTAACCACATGAATAACATCAGTCATTCCATGTTGTGAACATACATACTATGCCTCTCGATAGTCCTTCCTTTGTGAGCAGATCGACATGACATTATTCCAATGATACTCATTTCACAATTACAAATTATTGTCCTTATTTTAGATGTAGTAGAATTTCATCTTTACATGCATTGTCTTTCTATGATATCGAAGTTCTAAAGTCACAAAGACCGAGCCTTTTATATTACAGAATATTCCAGTGGAACTTGTTACTTGAAGCAATTCCATGGTTATGAAGTCTCATATTTAAGGTACATTTCTTGAACACTTCTCTTGCATTAAAGTTTCCAAGTCACCTGTATATTCTATAAGCATCTCCTATTGTGGAAACATTTTCATATTTCCATATGACCATCAATTCTTACCAAGAATCATCTCAATCTATAAAGTGTCACAATGGTCCTTCAAAATAATGTCATACTTCCAACTGTCCACAAGAAAACAGTCTTTGGATAAGCTCAGAATGTTCTTGACAGTTGTTTAACAACTTTATTCACGTAAAATTCTTGTCCTTTTTCTCACAATGCTTAGAGCATTTGAAAAAAATAGAATAAACAAATATTATAACATATGTAAACGATCCTATATCCAAAAAACATGAGACTCAACTCATTATTACAAGGGTCCAATATATGTTCAATTCCTTGCTATAATATTTCCATACATAGAATCTCCAATATTGAAACATTTCAACATGATATGGCTTTGAATGAGTTCTATTAAACTATGCAATCTAAACCTTTAGATTCATATTGAGGAATGGGTGCCCTCTCCCTTATGTCCACTATAGCAAAACAATTCCCGCCTTTTTCAACTTTCATTTAGAGACATTGTTCCCTACGGACACAATACCAATATAACAATTATGCCCCCAGTAGCTTTGACATGTACTCATAAATCAACTAGACTTATAGAAATCAATAACCTTTTACTTTCTCATGCAATTGTAGATTCCTATTTAGCGATGCTTTGTCAAGCCTTTAATTAAGCTTCTTAAGCTTACGCACTTTATCCAGATAGTGTATGTGTTCAACCCTTTTAAGACATGATAAACATATATCCTAAAAGTTTAAACAATTCCTTCCATCCCTCACAATTTGAAATATGAAGAGGGATGTCGTAATCATATTTTGAATTTGAGAATGCAATTAAGACAAACAATATTCGTATTGATCTTTATCAAATCCTTAAAATCTACTAGCAAAAGTGTTTCCTCATAGCCATTTTCATGAATTGGAGCGACAACTTTTTGTCACCAACATTAGAAGGTGCATACTTTCCCATCCATGTAGAACTTTCATTTTCAACCTATAGTCATAATACAAGGTTTAGGACAAACCAAATTAAAATTCAGTTTTCCTTCATGGACTGAAGTTCGCTATTATTTTAATTTTGTGATTTCTGGTAGCTTAAAAGGTCCACCAGTTCTTCCATGTTGTTAGCAGTTCACCCATATTGATCAGTGTACTTTCACTGACCAACGTGCTTTGCTTTCGCTGTTAAATGAAGAACATAAAACTCATAAGCATTGCCAACTCACTGGAAGTGTACAAAAATATGAATATGTCAATTTAAACACCACAGGTTATATCAAGCTCGGGTCATGTGCTAGTGATAACAAAATGATCATTGTCAGTTGACACTTGTAAGATCAAGATCAACATGACTCCACTAACTTCTTGACATGTGATTTTTATTTCAAGGAACATTCCTTGATAGGCTAAAATAAATATTCAAAAGTTCGTGTCGATTCCCGACAAGAGAACATTTCATAGAATAGGACTTAGATTATCTTTTGTTTCTCTATCAACGGAAACATCACAACTCCAATTGTTAATGTGATAGAGTAAGAAAACATTATTACATCACATATTACAAGGTGTTATGACCCTTCTTAGTTTGAAATGAGTATCAAGATACGATTTATAGTTACTAGAGCATGGCTATAAAACTTGACTGAAACAATTTATGACTCATCTATGATCGAACCATTTCCAACAATGTTCGATTCCTCTTCTTAGTTATACAATTGCACTAAGATGTTCTTGTATGACCCAATTGTTATAAAATTCCATAATTACTAAGATGATCATAAAACATGATACCAAGGCACTCTCCTTTCTTTTCAGATTGGAGAATCTTTTATCTTTCTGCCTAATAAACTCTTCCATTCGTTCTACTACTCATGAACTTTTCAAAAGAATTAGAATTTTGTTTACTCTTATAAAAAATGATATTTACCGAAGAATAAGTAAATCATGACGAATAGAGTTATCGTCTTTTGTGGTGGATCTGAAGAGTCCATATAAACATGTACTAATGTAACATCCCAAAGCTACCAAGTAAAAATTTCATTTTAAATAAGTCAAAACCATTCGTACATTATCTCAAAAGATGATTAGAGTTAGTATTCTAAAAACATCAAAGTAAAACCATCAATATTCATTACAGAATAAGTCTTCAGGGAATGCAGCGCGATCAAATTAGGCTATTTCTTTTTAAAATTGGAAGTACCTGAAAAGGTTTAAACCACAAAATTGTAAGCACAAAGCTTAGTGATTTCCCCAAAAATACCACATACCATACATATACGTCAGCTCAAGGCAGTACCGGGTCTATTTCACTCCCGG